AGTATTGGGTAGTGGTAGGTTCAAACTATCCACCTTTGGGTTGCACTGCACCTCCCTATCCTACTAGGCCACCAGAGCTCCTTACTTGTGATCTGTTGTCTCTCTCTACTTCAATAATAGTTTAGAATAATTCATAAAACTCATGCCAAGTACTATATTCAGGATTACAAGCTTATTACAGCAGAAAGGATACAGATGAAGAGGCACGTGGAGCAAGGATGAGGTGGGCGACCAACAAGAAGCTTCCATGGGCCCTCTGGTGGCCTGTCTGTAGGGAGTTAAGTTGTTAACCCCCCAAACTGGTGAGTATTTGGTGATTTAAATCCACTAGCAGCTCTGAGAGAGAAAGAATCTACAACGATTATAATTTACAAGTTTGGAAACCTGATAGAGGGCTTGGAAGTGGAGTATCTTCCCACATTGCTGTCTACTACCAACAGACAGCTCTGGTGGTCCAATGGGTAGGGAGTTACACTGACAACCCAAAGGTGGGCAGTTCAAATCCACCAGCTGCTCCTCAGGAGAAAGATGGGCAATCTCTTCATCTACAATTTATAGCCTCTGAAAACTCACTGGAGGGTCACCTATGAGTCAGTTCTGACTCGATGGCAGCGAGATACTGTTTTTAGTTTACGGAACGTCACATCCAGAGCTTTTATTGGAGGCTCTTCATGTTGACATGACTGATTGAATCATGTCCTCCTCTGAGGTCAGCTGATGTCCTTCTGGTCTCACCTGAGTCACCTCATTAGCATAACCTATAGTTCTGGACCCCAGGTTTTAGAGAATCAGGAACTAATGTCAAATTCTTGGGTAAATTCTTTACACTCTATGGAGTCAAGCCCAGTTTTAAGGAGTAGAAAGGCACACATTACCGTTTTATGAGGGGTGGGGCAAAGGACAAAATCATATTGCAAAAGGGTATAATAGGGCAGGACGGAATGTGTAACTCTTTTCTTTCTTTCGTGCCACCTACTTCAATCATATCTTGCCAGGGGCAACATTTCTTAGAGCAAACGTCTTGTGGCTGCCATGAGCTCGTGCTCCGTAGACCTTCAATCAGAGAGCAGTAATTGACCATGGCCCCAGCTGCTGTGCTCTGAAGCCATGGCTGCTCTGGCACGGAGGCCACGTGCCAATGGCTGGGCCTGGCAGAGACACTAAGACAAGCTTATTCCTGTTTTCTGACAGCTAGTTGACTTTGGCTAAAGGACTTCCCAGCGACCTTGCCAAACCTTCCTTAACC